CCCCCCAGGGCCATACTGACCCCCCAGTCTGTGCTGACCCCCCCAGTCTGTGCTGACCCCCCAGCCTGTGCTGACCCCCCAGATCCAGCAGCTGTTCGAGACGCTGCAGCGCTGGGACTCGGTGGCCTCGGCCCTGCCCGACGTGGTTCAGCGCCTGGTGACCCTGCGGGACCTGCACGAGCAGGGTGAGCCCCGGGGGGCTCTGGGGGCGCCGGGGGGGGGTCCCGTCCCTGTGTGTCCCCCCCCACACTCAGGTGTGTGTCCCCCCCGCAGCCGCCCAGTTCGGGCAGGTGCTGGTGCAGCTGGACACGACCCAGCAGGACATCGCGGGGGCCCTCAAGGACAACGCGGCGCTGCTGGCAGAGGTGGGACCCCCCGGAGCCCCCGCCCCCCTCCCAGCCCTGTCCCCCCCCATGACCCCCCGTGCCCCCCCAGGTGCAGAAGACGATGAAGGACAACCTGGCCATCGTGGAGGACAACTTCGCCGACATCGACGCCCGCATCAAGCGGCTCCAGAAGTGACAGAGCCCTGGGGACCCCCCCGGGGACCCCCCCGGGGACCCTCCCCCGCCACCCCCTGGCCTTGGGACCCCCCCTCCCCCGCAGGTCCCAGTGGCTGCTTGTAAATACCCGCCTGTGCCCCCCAGCACGGGGCTGGGGGGTCCTCCCCCACCCCAAACCCCTCCCCGGGGGGTGTCTGTGCCCCTGCAGTGCCCGGGGGGGGTCTTTGTGACCCCCATCCCCTGGGCGGGGGGTCTCTGTGCCCCCCAGTGCACCCAATAAACAGCTCAGCTCTGGGTCTGTGTGGGGGTCTCTGGGCTGGGGGGGCACCAGTGGGACCCCCAGACTGAGGGAGGGGGAATGCTGGGACTGGGTGGGGCACAGGGAGAACCTTCTGGAGCCAGGGCCCCCCCGGGGTGGAGGGGATGGGGGGCAGCGGGACCCCCAGAGAGGGGGGACAGCCCAGGTGTGGCCCCACTCCTGTCCCCCAGGGACCCCCAAACCCGCTGGGCACCCCTCAACCCCCTCCCGGGCCACCCCCTGCCCCCCCGTGTCGCCCAGTCCCCTCAGTCCCACCAGTGCCCCCTGTCTTTCCCAGTCCCCCCCAGTCTCTCCCAGCCCTCCCCAGTGCCCCCTTTGTCTCCCAGTGCCCCCCAGTCTTTCCCAGTCCCCCCCAGTGCCCCCCAGTCCCACACCCCTCCCAGCACCCCCAGTCACCCCAGGGCCTCCGTGACCCCGAGTTCAACCCCCCCAGTGCCTCCCAGTTGCACTGGGCCCCCAGCCCATTAATCGTGGTGTCCCAGGATCAAGTAATTAATTAACTAGCTGATTATTTGCACTGGGCTCCCACCGGCCAATTAATCCGGGTGTCATTGAATTAATTAATTAATTAGTTAATTGCACTGATCCCCTCCCCGGCCCGTTAATCCCGGGTGTTAATGAATCCCGTTAATGACGGCTGGCCCCGCCCCCTCCCGTCCCCGCCAGCCCCGCCCCCTCTCCGGCCCACGGGGGCGTGGCCAATTTCCCGCCATTGCATCATCCCCCCTCGTGACCCTCCCGGTCAGTGCCGCTGGGCCCGCCCCCGCCGCCCTCCCATTGGCCCGCGCCGCCCTGTCCATCACGCTTCTCGCACTGCCATTGGTCGCGCTGCCCTGTCCATCAAGCTCTCCGCGCTCCCATTGGCGGCGATCCGCGCGGCCGTTGCGTCAGGGCCCTATAAAGGCGGCGCGCGGGGCGTGGCGGGGACGCAAAGCGGAGACGAAGCGGGAGAGGATGGAGCGGGAACGGGCGGAGGGACAGCGACAGGAACGGGGCCGGGGGCAGCCGGGACCGCTCAGGAAGGTGCGGGGGGCACAGGGTGTGACCCGGGGGGCACAGGGTGTGACCCGGGGACAGCGACAGGAACGGGGCCGGGGGCAGCCGGGACCGCTCCGGAAGGTGCAGAGGGGACCCGGTGTGACCCGGGGACCCGAACGGGGGCACCGGCACAGCCCGGGAAAGTCCCCACCCCCCCGGGAAGGTGCGGGAATGGAGCGGGGGCAGGACCGGGCCGGGGGAGCCGGGACCGCTCCGGAAGGTGCGGGGGCGACACCGGGGGGCGATGGCGGAGCGGCCCCGGGGGGCTCCGGGCGCTCGCAGCCTCTCCCGCGGGACGGTGACCCCCGGGCCGCCCCCCCGGCCTCGGACACCCCCCCTGCTCCCGCCCCCTTCCCGGCGGTCCCTCCGGGGGCGGGACGGACACTCCGGACCCGCGGGGTCAACCCCCTGATCCCCCCCGGTCCCTCCGCAGGCATCCAAGAGAAAGCGCGTCCTCGCCGACCACCACACCTGAGAGCAGGTAAGGGACACCCCCACCCCCTTGGGGTCCCGGGACCGCTCCCCCGGCCCGGGTCACCCCCTCCCGCTCCCCCCCAGCCCCGCGCCGGGACCGAGGTGACGATGGAGGCCGAGGAGCTGTGGGGGGCGGGCGGCCCCCCCGGCTGGGAGCTGGACGGGTGGTACCAGGACCTGCAGGAGGTGCTGGCGGCGGAGCCCCCCGGAGCCGCGCCCGCCCGGGGGGCTGAGCAGGTGAGCGATGGGGCGGGGGTCGCCCCGGGGGGCTGAGCGGGTGAGCGATGGGGCGGGGGTCGCCCCGGGGGGCTGAGCGGGCGAGCGATTGGTGCGGGGGGAGCCACCTGGGGGGCTGAGCGGGTGAGCGATGGGGCGGGGGGAGCCCTGGGGGGGTGAGCGATGGGGCGGGGGGAGCCCTGGGGGTCCGAGCGGGTGAGCGATGGGGCGGGGGGAGCCCTGGGGGTCCGAGCGGGCGAGCGATGGGGCGGGGGGAGCCTGGCGGTCCGAGCGGTGTGATCGGATGGGCCGCAGGGGGGAGCCCTGGGGGTCCGAGCGGGTGAGCGATGGGGCGGGGGGAGCCCTGGGGGTCCGAGCGGGCGAGCGATGGGGCGGGGGGCGCGGGCGGGGGTCTGCCCTCCCCGTGGCCGGTGCCCACCCGTCCCTCCCCGCAGGAGCCGCCGGGCCCGGGGGGCTGCGGGCTGGACGCGGCTCTGGCCGAGGAGCTGCTGGAGCTGCTGGGCCCGGAGGGTGCGGGAGCCGCGGGACCCCCGGACGCGGCCCCCGGAGGGATCCCCCCGGCTCGGGCGGGCCCCGCCGAGGAGGAGGAGGAAGAGGAGGCGGCGCGGGGGGCGCGGAGGAAGCGGCGCGGCGGCGCCGGGACCCCGCGGGAGCGGGACGGGGAGCGGCGGGTGCGGGAGCTGACGGCGCACAACGAGCGGCTCCGCGCAGAGATCCAGCGGCTGAGCGCGGAGGTGCAGCGGACGCGGGCCCAGCTCATCGACCGCATCGTCAGCCTGGGACACGGGTAGGGGCTGCCCCGCCTGTTTAGGGGCTCGACCTGCCCGGGTGTGGGACACGGACTGAGCACATCCTTTAACTGCCCCAGGTGTGCAGGATGGCACATGGACTGAGCACACCCTTAACCTGCCCTGGGTGTGGGACACGGACTGAGCACACCCTTAACCTGCCCTGGGTGTGGGACATGGACTCAGCACACCCTTAACCTGCCCAGGTGTGGGGCTTGAACATGGACTGAGCGCACCCTTAACCTGCCCAGGTGTGGCACATGGACTGAGCACATCCTTAACCTGCCCAGGTGTGGAACATGGACTGAGCACATCCTTAACCTGCCCAGGTGTGGGACACGGACTGAGCCTGTCCTTAACCTGCCCCAGGTGTGCAGGATGGCACATGGACTGAGCACATCATTTACCTGTCCCAGGTGTGGGGTCAGGCCATGGACCAACCACATCATTTACCTGCCCCAGGTGTGGGGGCCGGGACAGGGCCCCCCCTCATGGACTGCAGCGTCACCCTGCCCCAGGTGTGGGGGCTGCCCCAGGTGAAGGTGCCAGCGCTGTCCCACAGGTGGGGACAAGGACTCTGCTGCCCCCCAGATTGGGGGCAGCCCTGGACTGAGGGGGGCACAGCCCCACGGACAGCTGGACACTGGGGGCTGGATGGAAGTGGACACAGATGGACACTGTGGGGACAGACAGATGGACGCAGCTTCCACACCCCTTTGTACAGCTCGTGTAGTTTATTAAACACTTGTAACCACAACCAGTACGGCCCAGTTTGGTTCCTGGGGTCACTGGGGCTGCTCTCCAGTATGGCCCAGTCTGGTCACTGGGGGCACTGGAGCTACTTCTTCCTCTTGCCCTTGGGCACCTCGGGGGTCCTGCCCTGGGCCAGCGCCAGGCGCCGCTTCAGCTCCAGCAGTTTGGCCACCTGGGCGTCCACCTGGGCCTTGTCCCCCTGGGCCGCCTTCAGCTGCCTCACCAGGTCACCCTGGAGGGGGGAGGATTTGGGGGGCTGAGGGTCTGGGGGGGGTGTGACAGAGCCCTTAACCCCCCTTTCTGTGCCCTGTGCCCCTCACCTGCTTGGTCACCTCCTCTGTCAGCTCCTGGATCAGCCGGGGGTCACCTGGGGCCGTGTCGGGGGCTGCAGGGGGGGCTGGGCCTGGGGGGGGCTCTTTGGCCTGTGAGGGCAGAGGGGGGGTCAGGCCCTGCCCTGGGCACAGCTCTGCAACCCCCTGGCAGGGGCAGCTTCACCTGGGGGAGTGCCTGGAGTGAGCTGAGACAGTGCCCGGAGTTACCTGGGGGAGTTACCTGGGGCAGTGCCCAGAGTTACCTGGGGCTCCACAGCAACACCTGCGGATGGGGGCAGGGAGGGGGGCTGCAGGTGCCCAAGGTGGGGGGTCTGGGGGGCTCCTGAGCTTCCACTCACCTGCCCTCCCCCGAAGCGTTTCCGCAGGGCCTCCACCTGCTCCGGCTCCAGCTTCTGGAACAGGGGGCTCACCTGGCAGGGCAGGGACGGGGGAAGGGGGGTCACACCTGGGGGGAGGCACCCCCGGACCCCACCCAGGGGATGGGGGGCACAGCTTCCCCTTCCCCCACACCCCGGGGGGCACAGCCCACCCTCTCTGCCCATCTGGTGGGGGCACAGACCCCTCCCATCTCCCTGGGGTCCCAGCCAGCCCCCATCCCCTGGGGGGTCCCACCCTTTCCCTCCTCCCCTGGGGGTCCCACCCTCTCCCCCATCCCATGGGGGTCTCAGCCAGCCCTTGGGGGTCCCACCCTGTCCCTCACCCCCCTGGAGTCCCAGCCAGCCCCCAGCCCTGGGGGTCCCATCCTGCCCCCCTCCCATTGGGGTCCCCCCCTGCCCCCCCACTCACGGTGCCCACGCGGTGCCCGGGGGGGAGGGTGCAGGTGAGGGCGGGGCCGAGGCCGCGGCGCTCGGGGGGCACCCGGAGCTGCTCCTGGATGGCGGCGCTGACCCCGGGCACGAAGGGCTGGAGCAGCGCGGCCAGAGCGGCCGCCACGTTCACGGCCACGCCCGTCACGGTGCCCGCGCGCTGCCTGGGGGGGACACACACAGTGACCCCTGAACCACCCATGATACCCCCCCTGCTCCCCCCCACCCCGCCACGTTCACGGCCACGCCCGTCACGGTGCCCGCGCGCTGCCTGGGGGGGACACACACAGTGACCCCTGAGACACCCCTGAGACCCCCCCTGCGCCCCCCCAGCGTCAGTGACCCCTGTGAGTCCCCTGCGCCCCCCCACCCGCCACGTTCACGGCCACGCCCGTCACGGTGCCCGCGCGCTGCCTGGGGGGGGACACACCAAGACACAGCTCAGTGACACCCTGAGACCCCCCTGAAACCCCCCCCACCATCAGAGCCCACACTCACCTGTCCCACCCTCACCTGTCCCACACTCACCTGTCCCACACTCACCTGTCCCCCACCCTCACCTTTCCCCCCCACCCTCCCGGTCCCACCACTCACCGGTCACACACTCACCGGTCCCCACACTCACCTGTCCCACCCTCACCTGTCCCACACTCACCTGTCCCACACTCACCTGTCCCCC